TTTTTTTGCATGAGATTCCTGAATTCATTTCCTCAAAGCTTCTCCCTCCATGAATCTAGAAAGATTTCATGGACAATCTGCCATCAGGCTGAAATGATAACAAAACCTGGATTAGCACACTATTTCCCTAATAGAGTCACATTCACTCTTTTGAAAATTATTATTTCCAAGTCTATGGCTATATTTTCTAGTCAAATGCCATTATAAATAATTTACCAAATACAAAAGAGCAGTCTGTGTTGCCTGATTTGTTTTAAATCCATGGCCTAAGGAAACAGAAGAGACCTTTGCTCCCTCTCCATCAGATCACCTGGCATAAAACAATGTGCGCGCTTGGAGTTTAGGTGATATTTTTCCCCTTGCATGCAAACATTGAATGCTTTGCCTCAGAGAAAACAAAACCTTTACAAAGCCCTTGGAGTCTGGATGGTGAGAGACTTGTGGCCCAGGTACCCTGGAGAGCAGTGGGCAGCCAGCATCAACTACTAGACATTTGAGTAACCAATCTCAGACCAAGAGCACCCAGCCAACTCAATGGCTGACTGCAAAACTGCCCAGTGAACCCACAGACTTGGGAATAATAATAAAACAGTTAAGTTCCTACATTTTGGGGTGGTTTGTTACACAGCAAAAGCTAATTGATACATCCTCCAATGACTTAGTTTATATCAATCTAGAGGCCTTTGTCGGTCCTTATTTGCCTCAATGTTTCTGTCTGATTTGAGGTCATCTGTTCTGCTGAAAATCTTTAAAATGGATACTTGTGAGGTGTTCCGGTGTGGTCTTACTTATAACAAGAGTTATCTTAAGTGACTCCCTGGAGATCTTCATTGACCTAGGCATCTCTATTGATGTGAAAGTAAAGAACCTGTTAATCTCTGTTAATCAGGAAAATGGTGTTAGAATGTGGTTTCTCTATCTACTCTTCGGTTATCTGGCTAAACCTTGCTACCAGCAATGAGCCAGCGAGGGTAGAATAAGCATGGCCAATTGAAGGTTAATAACTGGGAAGTAGGTCCTAGCTACCTGTAGTAATCACAAAGTTCATCAGAGAAGCAGAATCAATAGGATGCATGTGTGCATATTTCTATATGATTTTGATTTTTAAATATGCATAAACATACACACACTCACAGAAAGAGAGAAAGAGAGAATGACTGACAGAGATTGTGGAGGCCGGCAAGTCCGATGTCTTCAGGTTAGATCAGAAGGCTGGAGACCTAGGGAAGAGTTGATGTTGCAGTTCCAGTCGAAAGGCTGGCAAAATTCCTGGGGGGAGGTGAGTCTTTTTTCCATTAAGACCTTCAACTGATTGGATTAGGTCCACCCACATTATGGAGGGTAACTGCTTTACTCAAAGTCTACTGATTTAATTTTAATCACATCTAAAAAATATCTTCACAGTAACACCTAGATAATGATTGACCAGATATCTAGGTACCAACTAGGTCTAGCCAAGTTGACACATAAAATTAAACATCACACTACTGTTGTTGCTAATTAGATGACTAGACTTTCTTATTCTTAAGAAAGTCACTATTGTTTCTGATCCACTAGTCATTGTCCAGGACTCAGTAGCTAGATATAGCAGATTTCAAAATGGTTCTGATCTGAACAGATGTGCTTTGTGACTAATGAATCATGCAAAACATTTCTTGTATTTGCTTCCCTCTTTATTTCTCATTGATTGATCCTGGATAGGTGAGAAGTTTTCTCTATCAGAAAAGTCATCTAAATCAATAAAAAAAATTTACAGAAACCACAAGCATTGTCATGATAGTGTCAGTGATTGCCAAGATGTCTTGAGAGTCCAGTTTCTTTTTAAATTATAGTCCGAATTACAGTGACTCCACCAAGAAGGAATAAATGTGTCAGAGATAGAAAATGTGATTTCACAATCCTTTGTTTACAGGTTTTAAAAGTCTTTGTCAGTTATGCAAAAAGGCTCTAAAAGTAGGACTAAAAACATGGGGCACAAAGACTGGAACAAAATAAATGAATGTGGTTAATAACAGATATGTGGGCTCTCAAGGATATTAACATACATAAAAATTCATCATGAGAAATAATTACATTCCCTATTGTGGTCCACCCTCTAATTCTCCTGGGCCCTGAAAAATAATGGGAAGGTTAACACATTTCTCGCATTTCTGAGCATGTTATTATTTCTTGCTTACACAAAAATTGCATAAAAGCAATCATTTGGAATCTGGGAGTAGATGACATATACTAGACTCGGATAAAAGCTTAACCAAAATAGAAAAGCAATCTGGCATTGCTGACAATATTGTCACAAAAATATTACATCTTATGAAGGGAATTTCTCAGAATTCAATAACAACATGTTTAACAGCTAAATGGAGTCATTTGCATATTGTGGCAAAGTAAAAATACAATAATCTCATTTTTTGCTGTCTAATAGGATTTCCTAGGGTTGGATGGCTGGGAAGCATAGTCCAATCCTTGCAGTCTGCCCTTTGCTTTTTGTTCATTGTTTTCTTCCCTCTGGGCTTTTTCTTCTCCACCAGTTCTTTTTCTCCCTTTCTGCTCTACCTTTATTTTCATTCTTCTTCTTTTTTATTTGTTTTCTGTTTTTTGTATTTTTAAGAGACAAAGAGTCTCACTCTGTCACCCAGGCTGGGCTGGAGTACAGTGGTGCAATAACAGCTCACTGCAACCTCCCCTCCCGGGTTCAACAATTCTCTTGCCTCAGCCTCCCATGTAGCTGGGACTACAGGCACACACCACCATGTCCAGCTAAATTATTATATTTTAGTAGAGACGGGGTTTCACCATGTTCCCCAGGTTGTTCTGTAACTCCTGAGCTCAGGCAATCCACCCGCCTTGGCCTCCCAAAGTGCTAGGATTACAGGCGTGAGCCACCAGGCCCGGCCTTCATTATTCTTTTTTATCCTGTACTCCCTTAATTTATTCCTTTCCGTTATTTTCTTATTCACTAAAAGAGATTCCAACTGACTGCCGTTAACCTATTCCTAAGTATTAGCAGAGGAAATGAATGATCATTTCTCATCGTTTTCCTTGCCAGAACTTCTTTTTTTTTTTCTGAGATGGAGTCTCGCTCTGTTGTCCAGGATGCAGTGCAGTGTCACAATCTCAACCCACTGCAACCTCCAACTCCCGGGTTCAAGTGATTCTCCTCCCTCAGCCTCCTGAGTAGCTGGGACTAAAGGCGTGTGCCATAACGCTTGGCTAATTTTTGTAGTTTTAGTAGAGATGGGCTTTCACTGTGTTAGCCAGGATGGTCTTGATCTCCTGACCTCATGATCCTCCTGCCTTGGCCTCCTAAAGTGCTGGGATTGTTACACCTTCTTTTACCTGCAAGTCTTCCATTATTATTGTTGTCATTATTATTGTTATTTCCCTGGTTATCTCTTTCTAGGCCAAGTCAAGAGAATAGGTGGACTGGGCCATTTCCTAGGAGGTACAGAAACATCCCACCAAATTCCAGAAAAAAGAGGATAGTACAATTACTGAAGTTTTGTGTGTGTTCGTGTGTGTGTCTGTGTGCACACATATGAACTTTGATTATTATTTCCTCTTATTTTGCCTGCATTATTTGGATAAATGCTTTAAATCATCAGGACCAGAATGGCATGGTGGTTGAGAGACAGGGCTCTGACATTAGCTTATCTGGGTTCAACTTCATGCTTTCCCATATATTAGTTTGAGCCCATAAAACTGACTAGATTTTTCTGCTCTTCAGTTTCCTTATCTATGAAGTCAGAATAATTACAGAACAGAATTTACAGTACTACTGGGAAGATTCAATAAGATAATGAACTGAAAACATTAACACATTGCCTTGTACATAGTGGACACGGCAAAGGTGACTCTCATTCCACAAACCTACATGTATGGGAAACAGCACATTTCTTTATTTGTGAATAAATTAGCCTCTCATTAGTTTGTAATTCCATCTCACATACTCTATTTGGGACATAAAGTCCCTCAGGGTCTTTTAAAGGTTCTGAGCCCACATGATGAGCCAATGTGCTGATGGTGGCCCCTGGTCATTACAATCTGCTCAGCCAAGTACCTGCTGGTGGGGCCATTGTCTCTCCCACCCTCAGCTCTCAAGGTCAGATTCCTTTTTGAATATAGAATCTTGGGAGAAGCTGGCAACCACTGTCCCTATGATCCCATTTTTGCCAATTCTTTCTATGAGGTGTCACCCCCGGGAAGGCAGAAGGTAGGCATACCATTGTTCTGTCATCCACATGCCTCATTCCTCTCTAGTCTTAGGAAATGTCTCTCTCTTTTTTTATTAAAATCAGGATCAAGCACCTCTCTGCCTCCTGCTTCTTCCAAGTCCTGGTTCTCTTCTATTGCTCTGCCAATGCTCTTTTCTCCTCTGAGCTTAGCCTATTGAAAACAAGATGGAGACATCTTGCAAGCACAGTGAGCCCTCCAGCCTGCCACAGGCCACCCATGAAGCAATAAAGCGTAGAGTTTTCTTCCTTTTTAAGTAGCTGGGGAGGGCAGAAAGACCCCAGTAGTAGTAGTACAGAAGAAAGAAAAAGAGAAAATACATGGGGAAACCCCAGAAATTAATTTCTAAATGTTATCCAGCTACATACGTGTTATTCAGATATTAGTTGTTTTTTTTTTTTTTTTTTTTTTAAACACCTTGCTGAAACTGTACATACCTTCAATCTTAGTTCATTTTTTGTTGCTATAACATGATGTCTGAGACTGGGTAATTTATAAAGAAAGAGGTTCATTTGGCTCTTGATTCTGGAGGCTGGGAAGTGCAAGATCAGACAGCTGCATCTGGTCCACTTCTGGTGAGGGTCTTGTATACCATCACAACATAGCAAAGAAACAAAACAGGAAGTGTACATGCAAAAAGGACAAAACATGAGGCATGACCTTGCTTTATAAAAACATGCTCTCTGGAGAACTAACCTGATTTTGTGAGAAAGACATTAATTCATCTTGCTGGCCTAATCACCTCTTGAAGGCCCCATCTCCCAACGTGGTTACCTTGGCAATTTTTTTGGCAATCAATTTTAACATAAGTTTTGGAGGGGACAAACCACATTCAAACCATAACGCTTTCCTTCTTAGAACATCATCTTCTTTGCTATGACTCAGCCATCTTCTAGTTACCTCCTATAACCCTGGGTGCTACTTCTGTTTATTTCATGGAATCTTCTACAATCTGTGTCATAGTGTTTGTGGGGTTCCAGATTCTGCTCTGGGCTCTCTTCTCTTCTCACCCTACCCATTTCCCTGGGAAATTGTACCTACTTCTGTTATTGATCTTTTGATAACTTCCATATCTGTTCTTCAGCTCTGTGGTACATTGCAAAGCCTGTCCAGAAATATTTATTGCTCCTCCTGTCAAGAGGTGGAGTTGATTTCTCCAACCATTGAATCTGGCTGCCTTTGGGACTTGCTATGGAGAACAAAATGCAGAAGTGATGCTGTGCCAGTCTTAAGCTTGTACCTCAAGATGTTTTGCACACATATGCTTTTGATCTTGGAACCCCTTATCCTAGCCCAGTGAACAAACTGGGCTGAGCTGATGATCAAAGACACCTCCTTCACCCTTTCTGTCTACAAGGCCCTCTGAAAACAGCTGGTCCTCTGGTGATCTATCAGTTAACTGGTAGGTTCATAAACTAGCTTAGCCCAGATTAGCCAGCCTGGTCCAGATCCACAGAAACATCTAGATGACTTGAAGTTATGAGTAATAATAAAACGTGCTATTTTTAAGACACTAACTTCTGGGGTGGCTTGTCACACAACAAATGTTGATTCATACAAGCTCAAACATATCTTCTGAGCTCCCTGTCTTACAAGGCCAGTGGTCCCTGAACATCTCCATCCACATGTCCTAAATTCAACATGCCCAAACCTGACTTCAACATTCTTCCTCATCCCCAGTCCATACCCACTTCCAAGAAGAGCTGATTCTTCTTTTGTCTTTTTTTTTTTATCTTGGCAAACAAAATGTCATCTACTCAGAAAACTGGGTAGCATCCCCACCCCCAATTCCTTTCCCCCCGTATTCAACCCATCACTAAGAGCAGTCAATCCCACTTTTGAATAGCTCTCCTACTTATCTACTTCTCTCTACCTCCACTAATTTTTTGTGGTACGGAATATTATCTCCTCTAACCTGGTTTTCTCAAGCCTCCAAAGTCATTTTCTGACCTGCACGCTTGCCTTAACTTCCATTTTTTATTTCACAGGATACTTTCAAAATGTAATTTTAACCATGTGAATCACCTGAAGAAATTCCTATAATGGCTCACATTCTGTCATAATGTCCATGAGCTTCTGCTGGACTCACAGCCTTGACTTTAATCCTCATATAATTGGGAAGCATTAACAATTCTTGAATGGGAACATGTTAGTACCAGGGCTCTGCTTCAAGAGAACTGGTCTGGGAGTTGTACTGAGCATGGCCTATGGGGAAACTTGGGATGTAAGAAGAGAAATTAAGAAGGCCTTTCATACATCCAATGAGAAAAGATGGATCTCAAACAAGACTGGTGGCAATGGGAACTTTCAGTGTTTTTTGAAGGAAAGTTTTAGGAGGATGAGATGGATACCAACAAGAACTTCAGGAGTATGTTATTCAGGCTTTGTTCTGACCAGATGTCAAGGGAGGGAAAGGGAAAAGTAAAAACTGCCCGTGATCTCAAGCCTGGCTCACAGATATGAGTGAAAGCACTGTTTGAATAATAAAGTATGGAGGAGAAGGAAGTTTATGGAGCAAAGAAATCGTCACAAGACAACTAGGGGACATGGTGCTAGAAAGGTGGTTTGGGGTCAGCCCTTCTGTGCTTGCGTGGCAGCTAGTAGCTCAAGCGCACTGCTCAGCTTTTTCCTTCTGCATCTCTGTATACACCATTTCTTCCACCCAGCTTCCTGATCTATTTATTAAAACCATACTTCCAACATCTTTCTCATGTGTCTGTCTTCTGGCTGCTTATTTACGTAATGAATGTTGATTGCGTGATCACTATATGTCAGCTCTAGGGCTGCTGTGGTAAACTGAGCTCTCCCAATGACCCCTCCATCTCTCTCCATAAGTATCACTTATAACCCCGTATTATGAAACTCAGTCCTGTGTGATATTCAGCTCTACAGCCAATGATAGTAGATCAGAATTACAGTTTGGCAAACTCTCCCAGTACACTAGATCTTAAGTTCATCTTTGTATTTCTCAGAGCATGCAGTAAATCTACAATTAATATTTGATGAATTAATGAATCATGCTATAAAATATTAAAATAGGTCTGCAATGATAACATTTTATTAAAATGATTATGCTATTTTCAATGTTAAGACCTAGAGATAAAGTAGAATGGAGAGTCTCTGAAGTTCATTAGCAACTGAAAAGAACCAGTCAAAATTTCATTAGAGGAAACAGACAGGCATAGCTGACATAGATCACCTTGCCCTGATTTTCCTTGTGAAAGTTCATCGAAATTTTATGGTAGTGATTTGTTGTAGTGAGAGGTTTAACTTTCCTGACCCCAATAGTTACATGTGATGTGATTTGAGGGGTGCACCCTGATGCCCCCGCCTCCTTATCTACCCACTGGCAGATGTTTGAGATTTCACTGTCTCCAAAGACTCCATCCTCTCAGTGTAAGGCTTTGATCCGTGCTAAATGACAATATGCGCAGGTGGGGCCACACTGTGAGAATGAGGGAAAGGCTAGGAAGAAAGCATTTGAGTTCATCATGAAATTCAGCACGCAGTCTCTGGGAGTTGAAGTGAGTCTTTTTGTAGGTGGCTGAGATGCTTGGAGCAGAGATGGGTGATAGAAGATGAAATGTCTTGATAAAAGAAAAAGAAATTGCAAAAATTGTCACTCAACTCTCCTATTTCTTCTTGTTTTTCTATGCCCATCTCTCATTCTTCCTTTCCCCGGATCTTTCTTATGAAAATAATATATAATCAGGCCTTGACGTTGTCATTTTTATTTTTATTTTTTTGAGACGGAGTCTCGCTCTGTCACCAGGCCAGAGAGGAGTGATGTGATCTCGGCTCACTGCAACCTCCAATTTCCACTTTCAAGTGATTCTCCTGCTTCAATCTCCCGAATAGCTGGGATTACAGGTGCACACCACCACAGCCTGCTAATTTTTGTATTTTTAGTAGAGACAGATTTTCACCATGTTGGCCAAGATGGTCTCCATCTCCTGACCTCGTGATCCACCCATCTCGGCCTCCCAAAGTGCTGGGATTACAGGCGTGAGCCACCATGCCCAGCCACAGTTGTCATTATTAGAGACTGGCTATTGTATAAATAAGGACTCACAAAAATATATTCATCTAGGTCTTATTTTTTGCATTTGTTTTGTTAATATAGACGTTAAAAAATTGACAAAGCCTTGTTACTGTGGCTCGTTCCCCAGATAGTGAAGTGGTTTTATCATAAAGAATATTTTATCATAATTGTATTGCTTGTATCAACCTATTTTAGCAAAGCTCATAGTGTTATGTGCCTCCCTATTGAATAAAAAACACATGCTCCATAAAATTCAGTCTTTGAAGAATATCTGATTACACTAAGGGTGTTATTTACATATGACTTAAGAAAGTAATAACTCTTTAGAATGTGAGCAGAATGAGAGCAGGAATTTCTATTTTTGCCCTTTTTGTATCTTCTGTGTTTAGAACAGTTCCTGGTAGATTAAAAGTATTCAAATGAATATTTTTTAAATGAATGAATGAATGGTATAGCTTTTATGGGGTAGCCTCATGAAAAATACTCTGTGTTGTGTGCACCAATGTAGAAGTCAGAGCTCTGGTGTTAAATCTCACTTCTGCTACTTACTCCACTATGGGCCCTGGCATGAGGCCCTTGGTCTCTCTAAAATTCACTATATTCGTTTAGCGAATGACTCTTGTGTTAGATCATAAACTCTGTGAAGCTAGAGACTGGACCTGATTTGTTTCCTGCTGATTTGTTCCCTGCCTATCACTGCCTAGCATAACAGCTGGAATATAGAAAAGGAGAAAGTAAATTATCTGTTGAGAGATTTAACTCATTTTGGTCATCTTAGTAATGTTTTATGAGGACTAAATGAGAAGAGCTAAATGTAAGAGTTTTAAAACCCTATAATGAATTCAGATGAAGAGGGAGGATCTTATATTAAACTACCTTTCTTGTAGACAACAATGATAAGTGTTGGAAAAACCTTTTAAAATAGTTATTGGAAGGCATTGGAGAGCAAACAAAAGCAGCCAAAAGCTGGAGGGGATGTCATCTTTGAAAGGAGGAATTGCAGGTGAGGAGGAGGAGAAGGGGAAACAGCCCCAGAGGACGCCACATGCTAAGAGGAGACCAGTGTGGCAGGAGAGTAGAGGGAAGCTGAGATATGAGGCTGTGTAGGCCAACCGGAGTTTCCTCATCTTTATCCTAGGTGCCAAGGAAAGCCACCAAGAAGTTTAAGCAGCTGCAGATGGCAGTAGGGGTGGTTCCTGTTTTGAAAGGATCTCCTGGCTGCAGCTTGGAAAAGTGGTCTGATGCAGGGTTCGCTGAGCCAGCTGATTGAGCAGCCTATGCAATGGGATGCATCTTGCCTTCCTTATCTATTGCTGCATGACACATTACCATACAATAAAACTCACTACTCTCTCACAGGTTCCACAGAAGTCTGAGCACAGCATAGCTGGGTTCTCTACTTGGGTCTCTCTAGGCTGAAGTCAATGTGTTGGCCAAGCTGTATTCTCATCTGGAGCTCGGGTCATCTTACTAAGCTTATTCAGGTTGTTGGGAGAGTTCAGTTCCTTGTAGTTGTAGGACTGAGGTCCCTGCTTTCTTGCTGACTGTTGGCCAGGACCTGCTCTCAGCTCCTAGAGGCCACCCTCAGCTCCCAGCCACATAGCCCTCTCAAAACATGACAGCGGACTTTTTCAAAGTTAGCTGGAGAATCTTTCCTTACTCTGCTAGGAAAGAATCTTAGAGAAGGTGATGTATTTTCCTAGGTCTAGCCCAAGGGGAGGAGAGTACACAGAGGGTGAACAGCAGGGTGTGGAAAGCCTGAGAACCACCCTAGAATCTGTCTGCCATCATTTCAACATGGTATACGTTTAACTATTTCCGGGACCCAGATCTGCCTTAGGGGTGAGACCACTGATAATGACACCCCTTGGTATTCTGTTCTTTTCAGTAAGCCCTTTGGATGGAGTCCTGTACAGGTTACCTGCAGCCAAGCAGATGTCCTTCTTTCTTAGTGGTACATTTCCTTGTAGAGTAATGAGCTATGACCACATGAGTGGGTTTTGTTGGGGGAAAGGCAGCATTCGTGACAATAGTTTGCTTTATACAATTGGCTCCTTATCACTTTGGCAAAATTTAACCTTTAGTTTGCAAAGAAGCCACTCTAGCTGAACATAAGCGCATTAAAATACTTGTTTTTCAATTTTTGTATATGGATTAACTTCTAAAAAATGCAATACTGTGCCAAGTATTGCGGTAATTGAAAAAGTTACAATAGTTGGCTTCTGTTTTTATAATGTAATTTCAACTGGATTTCCTTTAGCTAGCCTAAGTATGTTTTGGCTTCCTTAAACTCAGATTGTGCTGTGTTTTCTCCCAAAGAGATGTCCCTGCTGCAGGCTTCCTGGCATTCTATTTGATTAAGACACTTTTAGGGTTGCTCTTCCTTGGCTTTTACGGATGTGAGAGCAATTAAAAGAAAATTGACTGACTTACCTTCCACCTCATCTTTCTTTGACTTGTTTGCTTCTATTTTCCATTCCATTTATTATTGATAGAGTGCTTATTTTCATAGCTTCTGCATATTTTACAAAACCACATAAACAGCCCTTCCTCCTGGAAGAGGGAAAGGGTGCCGGTTGCCATTAAACCAGTGGTCACTCACTTCCCAGACAGTTATGCATCCCCCATGTCCTTTGGGACTTGGTCCGAGAGGGAGCCAGGAGTAGTGTGAGGGGGAGGAATCAGAGGAACAGAAGGAGGTGACACAGGAGAGGGAAAAGCTGCCAGCCAAGCCTGGGCATGGAAGGGGATTGGGTGAGAGAGGGGAGTCTCCTTTAGTCATTCAAGCAGAGTACCCCAAAAACCCTGACAGTGGTGCAATGTTCAAGGTGACAACTCTCCCTTGGTTAGCTGTGGGGGATTAACTCCAGTCTCCTGGGAATTCTCAATTTGTAAGGATTTTTTTTTTTTTTTTTTTTTAGCAGAAGAAGGGCCTGGCAACAAGCCTTCCTTTGACATAGGAGAACTGGAAATGCTTCTTTTTTCCTCTAAGTGGTAAGGAACAAAAGGGAACATCATCATTAACTATACACTACCTAGACATGCCCAAACCATGTATGTTTGTGAATTTTCAGTAATGCCTGTTGCCCTCCCCACTCCCCACTTACCCCATTGCTGTCTTCCAAACACATAATGCGGCCCGAAACGCTTGAAAGACAAAGCTGCAGTGGTGTATGTTGACCCTGGCCCTTGATGCCTCCACAGAGTTCTCTGAAGTAAACATGTGAGCTGAGAAGCTCTTTTCCATGGGCTATAAATCTCTGTAAGTGCTGCTGGTTCTAGTCTCCGGTCTCTGCTGGAAGCCACAGCTGCGGGGGAGACACTTCCCAACTTTCACTGCTTGGGAAGGGTCAGAGATCCCCCCTGGAGCTGCCTCTGCCCTGTGACCCTGACAAATGCCAAAGGCACTTTCTCTAGGCAGCAACCTGCCTCCGACTTTCTCACCAATACCTGGAGACTTCCTTCCTCAGGCTGACCGCCAAGTGGCCCACTGGACTCGCCTGGCTGCCAAGTGGGAGCAAGCACAGGATGTTATTTCTGTTCTTAGAAGACCAGGTTCACACAACACAGCCAGGAGTGTGGGAAGGGAGAGGAAGGGCCTCCTTTCTGGCATCCAGTGCTGTCCCCAGTGGGAGTACTGTTTTCCTAGTGGCAGTGA